ATCTGATTCCCATTAGCCACATGGATTGAAAAGAGAAGAGTGGGGTGTATAGTCATACCTAGTTGCTTTGCCAAACGGCAAGTGATGAAATTCAAAGTAGAGCCACTGTCAATCAAAACCATCACAGATCGGCCACCCAATCTTCCTTCTACTCGCATGGACTGAAGAGGGTTGAGGCCCATGAGAGCGTGTAGAGAGATCTCGGCTCCAACCGGTTCTGGAGCGCCTGATATCAGCTCACAGTCTTCGAGGTGCTCTGGTTCTGTCCCCTCCGGTTCTCCCTCTGTTTGAAGGAGAAATACTCGCTGGACCTGGCACTTATGGCCCGGCCCAAACTTATCATCACAGTTGTAACAGAGGCCCTTCTCGCGTCAGGCCTGCATCTCAGCCCACGAGAGGCACTTGAAAGGCACAGTGGGCCTGGACAAAATGGGCTTCTGAGGATCCCCAACTAGTTTCTGGGGTTGCTGTTCGGCCCGCTGGAGAGCCCTCACATTCGGATAGGATGGCTTGCTGGTCCTGCGCATGCTATCAATCTTCTCTTCTTGCAAGCGAGCCATGCCCACCGCCGCCATGACTGTCGTTGGTCRAAGAGCTCTCACTTCCAGGCGGATGTCTTCTCTGAGACCTCCCACAAAACACCCAACCAAGGCCTTCTCCGGCCATCCGTGTACTCTGGTCGCCATTCTTTCGAACTCGAGCTGGTAGTCTGCTACTGTCCCCGTCTGTTTTAATCAAGTGAGGAGTTCGTCATAATCCACGAACATCGTCGGCCCAAAACGGATGCACAAAGCTTCCGTGAACTCCGCCCCAGCTACCTGAGGATGGGTTTGCCGATACCACTGAAGCCAGAGAATAGCGTCTCCTTCAAGGTGAATGGAAGCGATGGCGACGCGCTGGTGTGCGGGGGTTTCATGATACTCGAAGAATCTCTCTGCTCTGAAAATCCAAGGAATGGGATCTCCACCGGAATAGTTGGGAAATTTGATTTTAGTAACCTTTCCGGCAGGGTAACCCCCAGTTCCTTGGCTACCGGAAACAGAGGCATCGGCCCCTGTTCGCCGGATTGTTGTTGGGAGGCGAGGTTAGAGATGACCACCTTGAGATCCCTGAGTTCGTTCAGTACTTGGTGGAACCCAATCTCAAGTTGGTCGACTCTGTCTTCCATGGTAGAGGATCTTGTCTGCAGCATAGCTGGTCTACAACCTTGCTCTGATACCAACTTGGTGAGATACCGCTTACCTCGGAAGCCCCTTAGAGGGTGGCTTAACCTCCTGAAACAGAAAATGGAGAGGAAGAAGAGAAGGGAAGGTAGGAAAAAGAGGGATTCAGTGAAAGAGAAAACAAGGGATATTCATTCCTCCCTTCTTTAAAAGAGTATGGCCTTATATATCTGGCCTACAGGTGTAATCATAGAGGGAATATCCTTTGATTGGCAGAATAACTAACTGATAACAAACTCTGGGAAATATCATGGAGGGAATATCTTCTGTCGACAGAATCACCCTCTCTGTGTGTAACTAATTCTGAGGCTTTGTCGCCTGTCCTTTCTGCTTCCTTGAGTACTGCTGATGGGTAGTGGCCTGCTCCACTCCCTGTATTGGGTTTGGGGAAGGTATTTGGGTCCCAACAGAGTAGCTCCAATAGGTGATAAAAATTGGGAAAGTGGACCAAGATGGTTTGGGTACATGCAAAGAAACCATCTAGAGCACTAGTAAGAAGAGGTGATATGTTACAAGTTGAAGGGGCTAGAAGAGCTAGGGACAGACCAAAATGGGCATACATTGGAGTAATGAAAAATGATTTAAGGGCCAATAACAAGTTCATAATTTGATATGGCTCACCCCATATAGTTGGGATAAGGTTTAGATGAAGATGATGATAGTTTGTTAAAAGACCAAACCTGTAGGTTTATTTCATTTTATTCCACTTTTTTCACCAATAGGAAATTTAACAAGAGGATAAGAGATGAAAAAATGCACAAAACAAGCATGCACACACAACTCTGACTGAATTCATTCTCTTCCTAGAGAATCTAGTAAATTTAGCATGTTTAGTCTCCTGACCTGTAAAAGCATGGATGCCTTAGCACATAGGATAGCATTGTTCATAACTGGAAATCCATTTGCAAAGGCAAGATTAGCACCCATTATTTTGCCAGGGGATGAATTTAAAAGGATGGTCACATCATCTAAGCCATCATTTCCCATCATGGACCATCCCTCATCTGTAAAACCATTAAGAGCTTCATTGAAACCCCTACAAAACAAATTTTATCAGATTCCATATTATCAAAATAACCATAACCAATTCAATTAGCAGATATAAGAGGGAATAAAGTATGCTTACCTACTAAGCCTCTGGCTGAGTGCTCGTAGAGCTGCAGGCCTTCTTCCCCAACCTGTGACAGTTGACCGAGAAACTTCTTGAGCGATCTGTCTCAGCTGGCGTAAAGCCTAAGTGGAATAGCACACAAAAGAATAGAACCATAAGATATTCGTCCTTTGATCCCCCCCGGAAGAAAAAAAATTCTTAATCAATCTTTCTTGGCAATTCCATTTAGTGCAGATAAGAAATTATCTCCTAGGATTTGGCTTATTCTGCTTATTCTTTAAAGGAGAATATTTACAAACCAAAAGACTACAATGTTTTTAAAAATAAGATATCCGATGGTTTTTTTCCAAAGTAGACAAATTTGTATTGAAGAGATATAATAAAAAAAAATCAAGGATATCCCATGTGTGGTGTTATGCTACATGTAAGGTAAAAATAAAAAATGCAAGAAAGAACTTCTACCAAGATGGTAATGGAAGATGGCCTTACCGCCATTGTTGCCCTTTGAGCAAGAATGGTTGATGATTCATAGAGTGGACGCAAAACTTCAGGTACACTAAATGCCTGATTAAGAAAATGGAATTCTAAAGATATCAGTAGTCATCTTAGAGAACAAGTATATCATTTAACACAGGGGAGAAATTGAAATGTACCTCCAAATCCATATGATCAACAATGTGTATTATCGACCCTCCCCCTTCACAGGGTCTTATGAGATACCCACTTGGTAGCATTTCTGCCCTCACAAAATGTTGCACTATTGGCATGCTCGGACCACCCTGAGTATTGCTAAGTGATCTTTCACAGACCTGATGATTGCATGGCATATATATAAATTTGTGGCTCCAACATCGAACAGATTGAGAAAACAACAATCAATTAAGAGGTTTGTAGATTTCCTGTCCCCAAAAGAGAGGCAATTTGTGAAGCTGCATACCACAAGACTACTATCATCCAAAACAGAAGTGTAGCGCAGCAACCAGAAGTCACGAGGAGGTGCCAAAGTTGTAGGCGCGTATAGCTAAAACAAGTGAAAAACAAGTACATGAATTAACAAGAACCGAAGCTAAGGCATGCATGTTTTTGGGCAGTCCAACACTTGGCGCCTACCTGCATATAAAGCAGCTCAATGGTTCCACCATTTCCAGTTGGCAGCACATTTAAGACATCCACAGCTCGGCAATCACGAAACCAAGAAGGCCGATCTTTGAGGATTTCTGCAACCTGAAATGAGCGTAGTCTATAAAACCATTCACAAGTGAAACAAGCATAAAAGAAATGAAAATAGCATGTTAAGAAATAACTCACCCTGGTAGGCTCGAGTCCTACCAAGCCACAGACACGTGCTGCCACACCAGTGCAACCATGAGAAATAGCAACGATTCCTACGGAATCCGGACCAGGCTGAACAAACAAAGACAAATTTGGAGGGTATGATATTATTAAATGAATTTATATCAGAATAACGTAGCACCAAAATATATATATATATATATATACAATCTGAAGAGACCTATAAATGTCAAATCATTCTAAGCCATAAAACTAAAGATATTGGCATAAAAAATAGAAAATATCAGAATAGATGAACATCCAAAGATGGGGAAGCTACTTTTCTTTAAAAACTGTGGTTAGTTTACAACCGGGAGAAACAAGTGTCAGCACATTGATAAATAGACAAGAAAGAGGAGGCTAGGAGCAACCTTCATCCCAGGCATTTGGACCCACTCCACAGCAGTTCCAGTGGCCTTTGAAAGAAACTCTGTTAAAGTCTCCTCCGCAATAGACAAAAGTCTATAAAAAGTACAAGCATAACCTCATTAACCATAAAACAGGGTCATCACAGAACACGAAACTAGAAAAGGTTCTAACATTAGCATTCCAGTATTGTACTAACCCTGCAGGACTAGCATCCCTTGGCAGATGTTGAGGCGTTAGATGGTGTTGACCATTGGTAACCACCGACTCACAACTTGCGTCAGTGGTGGCAAGGGTCGTCTGCAAGAGAAGAAAAGAAACAAAAAGCCATGTTTCAGGAACCAAGGAATCTAAATGAAAACAACGGCGTTAATTCGTTCACGAAATATAAATGAAGATTAAATATAAAAGCAGAACAATATTTAATAAACGAAGTATAACATCAATAGCTCCCTCACATTCTGAGTCTGTTGGCGAAAGTAGCTATTCTCGTATACCAGCTGTGACACCTGCTTCTGCAACCTGTCGTTCTCCTCCATTAAAAGTTTGTTCATGGCCGTCAGCTTTCTATTTACAGCTTGAAGGCGTAAAGCTTCTTTTCTCTGCTTCTCTCTACATCTGAAGAATGAAAAACAGCGTGCATTTTCGGTAAGCACACATTAAATGGTAACGGATTTATAATTCAGAAGCAGAATTCATTAATACCTTCGGTTCTGAAACCAGACTTTAATCTGTTTGGGCTCAATATTGGAGAGAATCGGGCATTCTCTGATTAGTTGTTGCCGACGAATGGAACTGGGCTTGGGGCATTCGTGATAGAACCTTTCCAGCGCTTCGACCTGCTCAGGGGTATAGCGGACATATTTTCCGTTGTCCATTCCAGCTTTAAACTCATTGCAGTATGTCGCAACAGCCATCATTACCGCAAAACAGTGGAGAACGAACAACAGAAGCCGCACAGTTCTCTTCCCAGTATATTAACCACTTCTTCAAGCGCTGGCCAGAAAAGACCACAGGAAACGGTTTTCGACCGTTTTCGAGATTGAAACAATCAACACTCGATAACTAGGATTGGTGGTTTAAGCTCCACTGACATCGATAGAGATCCAAGTCTCTGCATAATACTGGCCAATCGGTCCAATCGACCAGAAGGCAAAGGAAACGCTGAAGAAAGAAATATTAGCGAAGTTCTCGTCTCGAAATTCAAGTTTTCTTCTCGAATAATCTCGAAGTACTCGTGCTGAGGGGAAAAAAAAGGAAATCCAGTTGTGAATTTGTGATTCCCCAAATCGAAACGTCTTCGTCCTTCTATCCTCAGTATGAGGAAAACAAGAAAAGAAATAGATAATTCGAGATTGTAGCAATAAACCACCTTAAACGTCCTCAACTCCTCTTTATCCTGGAAAAATCAAAAAGAACTGACGGTTTACGTTTATTTCACACACATGTGAAGTATTGAAGTTTGTTTTATGCCCACCGGAGACGTTCAGACACCCAGGCCTGAAACAGTATACACAGCGATGCTCTCTCTCTATAACCTCCAAAAACAAACTAAGAAAGTCGAGAAAAGAATTAGGTCTTGTATTATTTTTTTTTCTTTTCCGTTATCTGAAGCTCGTGTAAACAAAATAGATGAGATGTAAAGAAGAGGAGGAATTTTCACACCAGGGATTCCTCGAGTTTCTAGTTACTTTCCCTCTGAAACGATGTCGACGATTGGAACGGGTTGATGTTTCGATTCCCCGCAAAAGTCGGGAACGAAGCCAAATTTGTTTCCCCCGCAAAAGTGCGTTCAAGAACACTACATTTGAAACTTCAAATAAGAATTCGAACCAGAGATTTCTCAAGATCCGAGCTTTGTCTTGTCCTTCGATTCGACAACAGCATCAATCAACGAAGGAAACCTCGCTCGTAGCGATTTCCACGATCTCATCCAGCCCTTCTAAGCGCGCGAACTCGTACAAGCGATCTTCACAGTTTGAAGTAGTTTCTCGCTCGATCTTAGGATTGCCAGACCAAAAACAACAACAAGGCTCTCCTGCATAACAGCATCAGAAAAAGATTATCCACAAGGACGGACGTTGTTTGTTTGGCAACGCTGTTGAAATCGACAACCAAAGATTTTTCACTCAAGACGATATTTCAGCCATGGCGATTCTCCGCAGCTCTAATTTTCCATTTCATTCGGAATTTTAGCGGGAAAAACATTGAAGAGCAGGAGATTTCAGGCAGAAACCCCTCTTTCATCTATTGCTCCATCACTCTCTTACACTGGTTCGTGAACTTCGGCTCAGCTCCCTCGGCTATGAGAAAGTAGGCTTTTATGTGTAAGATATTATTGGACAAAAATAAACTTCTTCCATAATATTCTGCCCTAGTCAAATCTTAAAATTGCAATAAATGCATCAAGTTGCGCCGAACCGTCTCCCGCCAATATCCCGAAAATAAGAGCCGAATGACTTGAATTTAGTGACGCAATAGATCCCGAGTCCCGGTTCATAATACTCACACATGAATAACATAATACAGATTCATACGTTCTGTATTCTTTTCTTTTGTTTTGGTAGGAAAAATATGATATATTCTGTATATAGATTTTTAGATTTACGAACAGATAGGGTGAAAAGTTTTAGTAAAAAAAAAACGCAGGGGGCGAAGGAGGTAAATAAACGGAAAAGCAAGGGGGATTGGAGATGGAAGAAGATTCATGCGTATGCGTATTTTGGAATCCGAAACGTAAAAAACGCAGGCATTGGAGGGTTGCGTGGGTCAGAGAGGACAGAATTATGAGGGCTCTGCATGCGCCTCGATTTCTCCTCAATTTCGATTTCTCCTCAATTTATAGCATCATCGGATTCGTCATCATAATCGCAATTCCACATCATAACATGTCTTGCATACATACATACACATAAAGCATCAATTCAGATATTAAAAAAAACGGAAAAGTACGGACGGGGCCCGATGAATCGATTTTTCTTAATGTATCGATTTTTTTGCTAATACCTCGTCATTTTGTCTCTTCCGATTGGTGATGACTCAGGTCGAAATAGAGAATTTTGGCTGGATGAGCTGGGCAGGCTAGGTGGCGAGTTGATTATAGTGTTAAGCTACTATAAGGTGTCGGGTTGATCAAGTGGTGAGCTGCCTGTGAGGCGTCGAGCTGCTTGTGAGGCATCTAGTTGCCTAGGTGTCTAGCTGCTTGTGAGGTGTTGGGCAGACCAGATGGCGAGCTACCTGTGAGGCATCGGGTTGACCAGGTGCAGGGCAGCCTGTGAGATGCTAGGCTGACCAGGTGGTGAGCTACTTGTGAGGCGTCGGGCTGACCAAGTGCAAGGCAACCTATGAAATGTCGAGCTGGATTGATGAGCTTCGTTGCTCTTTAGGGACCTGCAAGGAACCAAATGTCAGAGGACTCAGGGTGATTAACCTGACGAGGTCGCTCCGATGCTTAAGTCAATACTCTCATAATAGACTGCGAGCTAAAAATCACAAAATCTGAGAGCTAGAACTTGCTTACTTGCTTTCTCCCCCCACTTGTCATTAGGGTTGGTGCCTTTATATAGGCCTTGCTCATGTACCGCCCCCGAGATCGCCAAGAGGTCGTGTGTAACTGGTCTGAAATCCTCGGAGGTAACTGCCATGCACGTTGACCATATTCCGGAATGAGGGCCAACCTCCAAGGATTGTGGGGTATGCATGTCGAATTTGTCGGCGAGCACGTCTCGCAGGTCGCCAGGTTGGCGCTTGAGCCTAAGCCAAGCCACCAGATTGGACACCATCAACTTGGCTAAGGCAAGTTGTTGCCAAAGTGGTTTCAGGTGTCACCTAGTTGTTCTGATGTGCTATGTGTCACAATATCATTGGAGGGCCAAATCCACCCTTATCAGGGCCCATAGAGAAAATACTTCATATTGTTTATTTATTATTTTCTGGTAAAATATTGTTTATTTATTTTATTTTAGGTTATATTCCTATGATTTTATGAATTTACTTAAAACAACCATAATATATTATAATCACCTGAACGTAAAATATTCAAAGGGCATGGGCTCATAATTCTTTATTCTAAAATTATTCTTAATATTTTTTTATAGAAAATAAATTTGATCAAACAGAATTAAACATAAAGCTGTCGGTGTCTTAATAAGGACAAAAAATGGTATTTTAATTTATATTTTCTTTTAATAAAATTTAATTGAATAAACTTTAAGATTAATTGTAGGATAGGCTTTTAGTAAATCCATAATATTATAAGGGTGTTTTAATAAAAAACTATTTAAAGGGATAAAATAAGAATGTGGTATTTTTTATAAAGTTAAGGTTAAAAAGTGATATATCTCTCTTGATTTTGGTAATTACTTGGTCGGCTATTGTTGAAGGGAAACTAATTTTTTAAAATACTATGAAACCTGTAGTCGTAGTCTTACATAGTTGGGTCAATTTTTTAGGAGAGCATTCAACGGTGGGAATGTAAGTGCAAGAAGACACAACAGCGAAAAGGCGCGAGTCTTCCCTCAAACAGGAAATTGTGCTTTGGTCAGTCCGTCTACCGCCACTATCCAGGTCGTTCGGACTTGGGATCGTCAGTGAAAGTATGCCAATGGCAGACCATAGTCTGATTCGTTGAATTCGCATTGGTGTAGGTTATTTGGACCAATTTTCTATGTTTTGTAGATTCATGGGAATGATATTAGGGACGCATGACTTGGGACTTGGACTCGGGTAGAGTCGTTGAGGTTACAGTTGGATCAGGTTTGGAATGGATGGTATTTACTATTTAGTATGTATGGTGTACAACAAAAACCGAAAATTGAATCGAACTATGGAAATCGAACAAAAAAATCGGTTTAACAAATCATCTATTTTGGTTTCTACTAATATATATATATATAATATATTTAAAATAAACGAACCAAATCAGTTAATTAATTGACTTCAATTCTTGGTTTTTCAAAAATTAATAGTATCAATTCGATTTCAAAAAATTAGCTAATGGTTTGATCAACTGAACTGTAACACATTTAGTATTTGGCCATAAAGCAATCATAACAAATATCAAAATGTCCAAGACTTTGGTTAATGACTTCAAGTTTACAACTTACATATCAATGGACCAAATATTGGTTCAACCCAACCCGGTCCAATATGAATCAATTACAAATGGTCCAGGACCAATGCAATCCAATGAATAATTTGGATCATTGGCGAATTGATCCAATTCAATGTGTACTGTCTGATTTGTTCAAATTGGTTTTAATTTGAATTGGGTCCAATCCAAACTTAATCTATTAACACACTATTCTTATCTTTTGTTAATGGACTCAATATTAGTATAATCCAACCTAGACCAATATAAATTAATTATAGATGAATCGGGTCCAATCCAATCCAATAAATGCTTGGACCATTAAATCTAAACTGATCAATTCAATATATTTGACTAATCCATCCACCCCGTTTAAATTGTTTTTTTATTGCAAGTGAAATTACTTATTTCCTGTGTATGAGAGACCAATGACATTTAGGCCCCTTTCATTTTTCGGTAAGTTACTTGTTTGGGTAAATGCATTTACCTAGATAAGTTTTTCTTGTGAAATACTTATCCAAGTAAGTGTATTTACCCATGTTATTTTATTTTCCAAGTAAAAAAGGAAATGACCGTTTTAGCCATAAAAAAATATTATTAAATAAGACATTTTTGCCACATTCAAGTGTTGGAATCTTTCCCCCGTGAGAAAGTTATTTATCCACCTAAGAGATAGGTATCACTTACCAAAAAAAATAAGCTTTCCCTAATTCCCACATTAATCTGAAAAAAGAATATAAGATTTTTAGTCAATGAAAACCAAATATCCCATTGACCAATTTTCTCCCTCTCAAAATTAAAAAAAAAACCCTTAATGTTTTAATGTTTTATTGCAAACCTGTAGCTCCTAGGAGCTTCATTTATCTCGTTTAATTAACTGAAGTAGATCATGAGCTTGATTATAACTAACCTAAGATGAATCAATAATTTTGTCGTAACCATTTCATGTAGCTACTTAAATTAAGCTACTTTTTTCTTTTTCTTTCTTTTTTTTTTCAAGTGAAGCTACTTTTGAGTAGTTACCATTTCATGTAGTACAATTATTGTGATTTGTGAGCTCGATCCGGCCACATTTGTTTCCTGTTCACAATCATGGAAAACGCGTTTCCTGCACCATACGTTATTTCCTCTTCCTAGTGATCATATGATTAGACGGGTTCATGTCGACTACAGTGACAGAGGTCATCTGTGACACCGGAATATCCCAGTAAAGCTTCAAAATGTTCAGACTTCAGAGTCCCACAAGCTCCGGCATTTGCGCTTCTAAAGAAAAGAATTGCGAATTGCGATTCCTTTGATGGACCATAGTTGGCAGTTCAACACGTGCATTTTCAAAACTCAGCTTAGACTTTGAGTTTTTATCGGAATTTGAATTCGACACTACGATTATTATCCCTGTATACATCATTTGATTCAATTCGGTTAAATGTGTATAATCGTATATACTTAAAAATTAAACCATATTTACAATTTAAGTTTGTCCCATTGTTGTACTTTAGTTAAATTGTTATAGGTTCTAATGAGGGTAATCTGGCCTTCTATTTAAGTCCGCGTCGCGTAGTTAGCATGGTTTTAAAAAATTAACCGGTCAGGGGTCCGGTTTGACCTGAATGGCCGGTTTGTTTTGATAAAAAAAGTTTAAAAATTTAGAAAATAGTCAAAATCGTTCGAACGGTTAACTGGTCGGTTCAACAGTTTGCTGATTAAAATCAACGATTTTGGGGGAAAAAGCAGTTTTAAGGAAAATGGAACTGGTCAGGTGGCCAATTTCCAGTTTTTCCGGTCCAACCGTCCGATGCGGTCTGGTTTTGAAAATAGTGGTATTTAGTTTGGAGTTTGGATACACCTTGGACGTCTTGAGAGTGAGCGCCCAACATCACCTCGGCCAGGGCCGAAAATGGTATGGCGTTACCTCAGTGGAGCGGACTAGCCACCTCGGCAAGGGTAGACTTGGGACCTTGATGGGAGGGTTGACCTCCCACCGAGCACTTACGACTTGACTGAAGCTTGGGTGGTGACCTACACAATGTGGCAATTGGCATCTACTACGCATGATTTATCATCTCCGAGTCCTCTAGGATCATGTTGCATGACTGATATAATGAATTGACTTCTACTCCACCCACTTTGGAGATAGCCGGATAAGCATTATTGTTATCCACGGAAATCACCTCTAAGGGTGCCAGGCCTATAAGACATGTCTTTTTGGAGATCTCAGACATGGTACATGAAACCCACACCTACCCATGCCTATATAAAGATACATCTTTCCGCCACAAAATGTATGCACCATTGTGCACTCAAGACTCATTGACATTCTAATTCTC